ACACACACTCAACTTGTACTAAGTGAGAACATCTTCAGCAATTAAAAGCCCCAGCTACTAGTTGTGTCCACAGCGCACTACATACAGCCACATTCACAGCAGGCATCGTTTTCTGGTGCTGACATGATGCATGCCTTGGACATGTGAGTGAGGCGTGGATGGCTTGGAGATGGCCAGTCACATGTTCATTCGCTTAATTCACGTTGGAGCACAAAAGCACCAACATCCTTCCCCGTCACATGTCAATCTGTCTGGCAGTCTGTCTGCCTGTCTGTCTTCCTGTCTGTCAGGAAGTGGGTCAGCAAACAATCTAAAACGAAGTTCGTGCTTCTAACGCCTACTTGACAGAAGTGCGTACCAAATAGGTGAGCATTCAAATGCATTGTCACATGAATATCACTCCACCCGTCTAGTTGCCATCCCCACCTTCTCCTCCCACATGGTAGAGGTATGAACCAGTTGTCACTTCACTCACTTTCAACACCACTAGATGTCGTTCGTTCCTGTCAAGTTGATGCACTTAGTTTAATCAGTGGCGACAGCCAATTCCTTACTGTGAGGAATGGCGGTTCGCCGTAATGGAGGATTATTCCTGACTTGATTAACCTCTGACAGAGTGGCTCACCGCCACGATGAAATTGCTTATCTACACGATGTTTAGTTGATATACCCATATGCGGTGCCTTCATGGAATGGTACAAAAGAAGGTGTATGAGATGCTTCAACAGTTGTAGAACAAAACCAGACTCAATGCGTTAAGCTGACAAGGTCAAATACCATCCATCTCTTTAGCTAATACTGTATTTCATGTTATTGGAGTAAATTTTGAGTATTGAGAATGTGGTGATCAAGATGTGGAGAAAGTTACCGACCGGTAAAAGCTTTTTTAATTCCGTTCTACGATTCATTCATAAACCGTTACATGGGTTTTCAAAGTCCCCGTGAAATGTAGTAAGTAATTGCAGCATGCTTGGTTTGGCCACCATAACACATTCAAACGGATTTGCCGACCTTGATATTCGTGTTTTTTTTTAAAAAACTGGAAGGACCCTAAATTTCCCACGTTATTTCTAACAGAGTTTAGGGGCACTTCATACCTCACATCTTTTGCAACTAGAGGTACGCTTCTCGGGTAAATTTTTATTCAAACGTTCTTAGTATTTATAGCTCTTGAAGGAAGACAAACGCGGCGTTTAGTTGGTTATAGAGTACCGAAACTTGCACATTTAAAATGTACCTTTAAGAACACAATTTCTGTCTTCATGTATCGTTTTTTTTCCGGGGCTGTTTCTTTGCAATATCTAGAATTAGTATCTTATAAAAAAAGCAAGCCGTCCTTGGCCTCATAAAATTTTTCTGCAATTCTATTCGTACGTTGCAAAACCTGGAAGTAAAACTAGTAAGAATGCAGCCAATGATACGAAGATAAAGTCTATCACACATGTTACAGTGGCAATCTCTGTGGCAGTGGATAGTTTGTAAGTGGAAATTTTGCTACTGTAGACCACCATTCACTTCTGAAGAACCCATGAAGACCTACAATATAATCCTCAAGGGAATTGATGCCATCGAATTTCCACGAAAAATCACTCGAAACGCTCAGCACCTCATCAAAAAGTTGTGCAGGTATGATTTGCATCAGTATCTTTACTTCAATGTTAGCTTAATACAGTAGACCCCATCTGAGAGATTTGCATGTTAATCATGTTGATGTAAAATAAAATTTGATATGCGCTCTTTGTGATGTACTGTAGGGAAAATCCCACGGATCGTTTTGGCTATGGTAGGGGTGGACTGAAGGCGATTAAGAAACACGTGTGGTTTGAAGGGTTCGACTGGAGAGGTCTTCGAAATCGGAATCTCAAACCTCCGTTCGTTCCACAGGTATGATTTTTTATCCGACTTGGAAGCCAGTAGATACAACTTGTTCAAGGTAGGTTTACTTGACAAACGATGGAAAAAAACTCGGCAAATCACTCGAGGAAACTCAACTAAAATAGTTTGCTCTGCGAGTGCATATGACAGCATGTTATCCTATGCACCGAAGTATGACTGTATCTAGAGTATGGATTTGACTCTTTGTATGGGAGATCATAAAAATGCATTACCAAACATCATTTTTTGTACGCATACAATTATTAGCTTTTTTTTTGCAAGAGTGAGGATAAAACAGTAGATCTTTTACTTATTTGCTAATATGCACTTTACTATCTTGCTTTGCAAATCAGTTCTACACATTACGATAACAAACTCATATATGTTTTAAAATGAGCATGCCTTGGTCCGTCTCTCGCCATATTCCATATTCCTAAGTTTTGTGATTTAGATATTGTCACCAACGGACGTCACAAACTTCGACTACTACGCCTTCGATCAAGAAGAGCCCCCAGACGATGTGAGTGGTTGGGACAACGAATTTTGACGAAATTTCCCTATTTTTGATCCAATCACTCAACTTCTTCCCTTCCTCTCCGTGGTCTGTTTTAATACTACTTTTCACCGATCAGCAACCTTTGTCTGCAAAGCGCCTTTTTCTATTGCTGGTGACATTGCCTAACTATCCTGCCTTATTTTTTTTGCAAAAATGCCAAATTGCATATTGTTTCCTACAAAACCCAATCGACTTATTTTTGAGCATAACACGTATGCCGTTTGTTGCCAAGAAATTAAAAATTCCGGCTCACCCCTGCTACTCAACTAGTCATTCGTTGCTTTTATTCATCAACCTATTTATCTGACCAATAAGGGGGACCGTTTTCAATAGATCTCCTCACTAATTAATGTTCACCAGAATTTGTGCACAAGAATGCTCGTTTGTTTCAGTGTATGAGGGTACGAGCAAGTTGAGTAGACAGGGAAGGAGTGATAATGAGGTAATCATTGTGAAGACTCGTCTTCACTACCATTGTTTTGGTAGCCATTGTTGCTGCCGTTGTTGGTATTGTGTGAAGAAAGGCAGTAAGAAAATTCGGGCATCATGTAGAGCTTTGAGGCCAGCTGGTAGTGCGTCTCCGGCGCTACGGTGACAGGAGTTGGCACCGGAGATTTTTGCGCCGATCCGAGAGTCTTAATGCCCGACGCAGCGATGAGACAAAGGGGCTGGTTTTCCACTCTAGTCCCGCTCTGCCTAGAATGATTAAAAAACTGGAATTTTCCTTTCTTTGTTTCTGATAGTCTGTTTAGATGTAGGTTTGCATGCCTGTCAGTTTATTTTAGCTTCATCTGGTGTGTCTGTAAGTTTATTTGTCTGCCTGTATGTAAGGGGTAGTCAAATAAGCACATGCTATTCTTTTGTAGTTAAATATAAATAGTTGCAAAAAGTTCTTCGTAATATTTTGTCCGTTGAAATAGTGATCATTGCAATTTATAGCCCATGCTCAATGATACAGACACCCAAATCTTATGAAATGTTCAGTTGTAGAGACAAACGGCGCGGCTCTAACCACCTCTATTTCCATTTCATTTCTACTTCCTATCTGCCCCATCTGACATATGACTACCAAATAGAATTATCAAAAAAGGGAGCTAATCACATGGAAACACATCGCTCTTACTAGAATAAGGGGAAAACAGCATTTGTGTCCTATGTCTCAAACTCTCTCTCCCTCCCTCCCTAAATTGCAGCATAAATTCTTTTTACCACTGATTCACTGATTCTAAGTGTTTCTCTAGAGGAAGGTGCTCTTGCACACAGCTGAGTTGTATCAGGTAAGTGAGTTTAAGCCTTATTTGTTGTTTGGCCTTCAGCAAATGGGCGACTATTACTGAACCCTTGTGTTTTTAATGCACCAAACATGCACAAGCCATGTATAGTCTTCTGTAGATGATTGACACGTGACTTTACATATGGGGCTGTGAGGTGAGCAGGAGGAGTAAACCTGTTACACGCCCTTAAAGTCCATTTCTATTCTATGTACTACAGATTAGTCTTATGGGCGATTGTTCATAAGAAACCCTACCGTCGCACGATGCAATAACAATCCGTATGTGATAATCCCCAAAATAATCCGTGCACTAGAGTTTGCCAAGAAAGGAGGTGTCGGACTACCCTCATCAATAACCGGAGATGTTTTACTATCACTAGAGTTTAAAAGGTTTTTAATCTAATAAATCGTTATTCTTGCTGTGATTCGCTTGTCTATATGAAGCGGTCCTGAGGATTAATTGCCCGGAGAGCTGATTGTGGACAACTTTGTAAATACATGCTTGTAGAGTTGCGAGCATTCCTAAGCACTGTGATGAGACGGAATATGGCCATGAATTTGGGCTTAATCATTGAGATTAATATTCGTAAATATTGAACGTTATTTGCGCATAATTTTAATTCACTGGGGGAAACTGGTTGAAAAAAAATTCATGCCATAGAATTGCCACGGAAAGGTCTTTCAAGTTGAATTTTAAAATGTAATTTTTTACTTGTTTAACCCAAGCATATGTGGCTAGAAATTAAACAGTGGGAAAGAAAAGTGCACCACCTCAACTCTACACTTCTTTATTTTCACTTAGTTTAAGCGGATTTTTGTTGTTAAAACTTGCCTTGGGGCGATGGATATCTCACCAGCAGTAGAATGATTATTCTGCTGTATCGAAGCAGCAGTATCAACAATGAAGGTGGAAGTGGCTGCTTGCGCAGCAGATTGAGTCTCAAAAGTCCCCATTTCTGGCCCATCCCACGTCCACTCTGTTCCACTGTGCAGATAATGTGGAGAATGAAGATGAGAATTTGAGTTCACCGGCACCAACAGGGTCGATTTCCCTCTACCTATCTCACCATTCGCGTAAATAAGACCTCTTCGATTATCAATCTGTGGAGAGAGAAAGACGCTCTGTGAGCATTGGAGGTGTCCCTGACGGGACAGGCTCTGGTAGGCCTCATGGAAGCATGTGGAAGGTAGAGTATGATGGTGATGTTTTTGTGGCGGTGGAGGTGGATTGCAAAACTGAATGTAATTTTGTTCTGGCTCATGGTGGAGAAAGGCGGTAGAAATAGAAGTCTCATCGTTGCCACCCTGTGAACCGAGGCAAGGTGGTTGGATCCCCACGGGAGTTTTAGGGACGTCACTGGAACGGCGAGAAGCGAGGAGATTTGTGTGTGGATGGCAGATCGTCAGGTTGGGGGAGGAGGTGGAGGAAGAGGAGGACTTAAGGTGAAAGAGGTAGTGATTTCTGGAGACCAGGCAGCCGCAAATCATGGAGAGACAGAGCATTGTCCCCAGTGACACCATGATTAACAGCAACTGGATTCTTGGCTGGCAGAACACACTCGAGCAACTCTGCGAACCTTTCCGAACAAAAAAAAGATAAGAAAAATTAAACTTAAACAAAGTATGAAGTAAATAAACTCCTGGAAATTATCCCATTGCAAACATGCTACTTGATTTTATGGAGGCAGTGTAATTAAGTGAAGATACTGACTATCTGGAAACTTTCATAAGATGAAATTTTATGATGGTATTAGCAGACATCTTCCGAAACCACAATTAAAAAAAACGATTTGTAAATTACGCAAATTCAGACATGCTTCAAAAGTCACAGAGTACCACCTTTCTAAATGCAAACCGGATAATTATAGAAAACTATAATAAACAGAGCTAGAAGCAAGAAAAAAAGCTGGAAACGTGGATTACAAACATGCCACAATGCGCATTACTGCTGTAGAAGAGTCTTCGACTTTTTTAGTTAAATTAGAGTCTGTGTTTTTATCCTATTATTTTATGCAGACAGTGAAAAAGAGCAGTGCATACACGACCGGTGGCTCATGACGCTCTATTCTGCTGAAGTGGGGTGGTAAATGGCGTCAGACAGATGTGAACCTTTAGAAGGGGTTGGAGCCTAAATCACCACTCTGTGCAGTTTGAGTTAGTCCCTTGAAATTGTAAAAGAACATCCACAACCACCGCTCCACCAACACCGGTGGCGGTGGACTTTGGCACACTTAAGTTGTTCATTATTTTGTTGACTAGTAACGAGGAAGGCAACATTTTGACCGGGGGATAGACACTTAAAAGGAGGATGAAATTGATCAAATGAAATTTGCATGGAGGTATAAAATGGTAGGCCACTACCTAATGGTAATCTTAAGTAAGTTTAACTTGGTATTTTGAAACAAATAGGGAAGCACAGCCTTATTTTAAATCAAAAAACGCTAGTCAACACCTGTACTTTTGCTCAATTGATGGTTTTAATCGCAAATAGTATTGTTGTGAAATTCCTAAGCAAAAAATGCTAGTGCCTACGGTAAAATATGAATGAGTTTTTATCTACACCTCCTGGTTTATTCTAATTAACAAAAACTATTTACAAAATGATTCAGAATGTGTTCTTTTTAAAGCAAAATAATGTCAAGTATTTTGCTTTAACAGATATGACTCCATTTGACTTGATGTGATGCGAAGAATGTCAGAAGTATAAAATTATGCAGATCATTTTCGGCATAAGCATGTAATCAACTCAAATTGTACACATTGTCAGACATTACTTACTTCGTCTTACCACTAAAAGATTGTACCTACATCAGTTGAAAAGTCACCCATATTTTTGAAAATCACGCTTTTTGTGAGAGTTATTTTAATTCAAATGCCCTAAGAGCAGCCTGTTCGACGATCTGCAACAAATGATTTCTATTAAGGCGACGTAGAAATAAAAGTGAGATTATCATACAACTAGATGCAAACGTTTGGATTCTCCCTCACTTTTAAAGCGTTTCCATGGTCGGAGCAAAGGTTGGAGAATGAATGGACCAGCTACTTACCAAGTGAATTTGACTTCTCGGATTCGTGCGGTGAAGGGTTGATTATTTCCAAAATAAGTGATCGCACTGCGAAGTGGATCTTCGGTGGCATAAATGTTGTCATCGAGTTCCTCTCCTGCAAACCGCTGCATGGATGGGGCTGGATAAGAGTGGTAAATTCAAGTTCTTTTAAAAATTTCAACGTGGGATCTTTACCTTATTAACTTTGATGTACTAAATGCTAAACTGATATACTTCTGACTTTAACACCTCAATCAAGACATTGAGTAGTAATTTGAAGAAGTTATTTTACATGCTTGCTTTCGAAATCTCAAAGGTAAATTATCATCAGAGTACATATGGAATACATGAATGCCTGCGTTACTGAAGTGAACACTTTAACACTAGCTGGAAAACAAAAAACCCATGTTTCTTTTCGGCCCAAGGAGATTTCACATCCTTTTTATGGTTTTGAACTTAACTGATCTGTTTGCAGCATGATTTGTTGCAACTGGGTATCAAAGTGATAAATAATGAACGTATGAAGTGCAGACTCAGTTAGGAGAATTGAAGTGTCGCACAGATGCGATGCTGTGAATGGGTGTGTTAGATAAACCACATTTTGATATAAGTAATTTAATTAAACACTGTGCTTCCAATAAGCAGAATAATAATCAAACAGTTATGAAAACATAATAAACAGGAAATTTTCCTACATTCAAGACGTAAAAGCAAAACTTTACTGCCCCGTAATTTTATGCATATTAGACGTAGGACAACTTGCTAGATTGTCACTGTTTTCTGCATGTCTCTATACCAACAAAGCGAAGTTAAACGAGATCAGAAATTTCAAGGCGCAGATAACTCGGATATTGCCGCAATAACCAGCCAGTTTTCGTGTAATCTACCCTTTACTTTATGGGTAAAAGGGGGATAATAAGGGCGTAATCCTATTACGAATGTCCATCCACTTTTCGGCACCCCATCGGCAATCAAATTATGCCCCTTCTCCTTTGATCGACTTGTTGCCAAGGGAGGAAGGAGGCACAATTTTTCTGTTTTTCGTGCGTATAGATGTATAAATGTACCATCCTTAAATTGGCGCAATAAATAAAGCGGAGAAGGAAGAAGCAGATACTATCGCAGATGCTCGAGTGGATCAGGCAATTGCGTGCATCACGCTAACTTGTCAAAGTAGATTCTGTCAGTGCTGTGAAAGTCTTAGAAAATGACAAAGATCTACACGACCGATACGGGACGATGGTGACAGTGATTGTGGTGGCATAGGCTAAAGTAATGTTAACTGCTAGGTGAGAGCACATCTAACTCTCAACTGGCACAGGCCAAGTTGATGTTAGCCGTAGGACTGCGAGGAGAAGTAGGAAGCGATAGCAGCGAGGCGCACGAAAATTCAACGAACAGAAGAAAAACGAGACAAGCTCTTCTTTCCTTTTCAGTTTAAGGAACCGCAAAATGCATTCTATTAAAAAAAGGATATCTTTCTCTTTCCATGTGTTATCGCTAGTAAAAATTGCAATTATTTACCTTTGTAACAATGCTCTGCTAAATAACTGACGTTCAAAGCATTGATAAAGATTGATGAACTGAAGTAATCAGTAACCAATGCCACTTTTTTACTCACTGATGTAAATGAATGCTTTATTGGTAAAAATTTGTTAATCTAAGGAACAGTGGCATATGGAAATTTTACTTATAATGCGATATCTTTTGAAATTAAGTAATGTTTTTATTGACTTCTTCTTAATCATTTTTTGACAAATGCCATAGAATCAAGTCTAAATAGACAACCCAGTTTTCGCCACTTAAAATAGTTAAAAAGTGGTAATAAAAGTGGAAGTGCTTACCAAAGCACACCATGCTTGACGTGCACATAGCCGAAATGCACAAGTGATTCTCACATTCGTCGAGGTTGTATTTGCATGGAACGCCGATGAGTCTGTCCGAAAGGACTGATTTGGATGCAATCCCTGGAACAAAACAATCCACTTTATTATCTGGAATATCTAGAATATTCAAATATAACATCATCCACTAAAGTAACAATTAGAAATGAATGGTCGAATAGGATAGTTTACGCCAGTGTATTTAAAATATCGCAGGCTATAATCAAGTAGAATAATTGCCACACTTGTATTTCCAACAAAAAATTGCTGGAGATATCCCCAGTTTCAAAAAGACATTCTCAGTATTTTGATTGCTTGCATTCGGAACTCGACAGAATCCAAGGTCGCGCCTACAAATATTTATTCATAATGATGGCAAAACCTCAGTTCTAAGTGTAATACGTCTACCAGCCAGCTCTCAGTTTTGGTAAAGTGCCACCTCTATTGTATTAGCCTCTGAGCAGTGCCAGTAGCCCTAGGCCCTACTGTATATTGAAGGTATATATCCTGCCCGAGTACTATGTCTTCTTTTGGCTTCAGGGAAGTCTCGGGGCGCTACAGTGGTGACAGCAGGAAAGGGAACCCGATCTTATAAGGCATCTATCTTGACTTCTACTACCAAATGATATGTAATGCCTTGGTTGGTTAGCTCTTGGCTTTGGTTACGAAGCCACTTCGTGTTTTGGTCATTGTACCTTGGCTGGATGGGCTGACCTCTGGGTCATGCCAGTAGCCTTAGGCTCTACTGTATATTAAAGGCATATATTCTGCTCGAGTATTACGTCGACTTTCGTCTTCAGGGAGCAAAGGGGTGCCACATACGCATTATAGGTTATGTGCAAGATAACGTGACGTTGAAGCTTTGCAATGATAAGGCAAATTAGGAAGTGTAAAACCAGTATTTAAAAATTTTGTGGCATAAAGTAAATCTTGGTTTTTATCAATTATTTTGTTTTCGTAGTATACTTATTCCATGACTTACGTAATCCACTTTCTTAAGCCATTTGATGAATGGTGGCCTTCTTAACGGAAGGACAATAGCTGAATAGTTGGTGCAGGTAAGCGGGAGTTGAAATTTTAGTTCATCTAACTTCCAAATTATCTATTACTTCAAATTATATCAATTTAGCTGTTTTCAAAGCTTTGTCAATCAAATTACGGTTCAATCAAATTGTGACATTGAATATCAACTACTATTACAAACAGAATTGAAAAAAATGGTACAAATAATGGATTCCATACAAAAAAGTTAATTGATGGTCACACTCTGGGCGGCGAACAAACAATGTTGCACTGGAAAAGTTAAACCATTGGACCCATTTGGTTATGGAAACAACTTTATTTCTAGCATTGATTAGAAGGTAAACAAAATTATTTGAGATTGTCCACCTTCTGCACCATTGCCCTTAAATAACTGACCGTGGTGATTACGAAGGCTGGAAATAGTGAGGAGGCAATGGATATGAGGGAAGAAGACGAAGGTGGAGATTTTATGGCGAGGGCCAAAGGCATTCCATCTCTTCCTGGTTGAGACAGTGAGTAAGAGAGAAAATTTCCTGTAAATCCACACTCTGTGTTTGGACACCTATGGACAAACAAAACCGACTGTTCTAAATCACTAAACAAAGAATCACAAAGGTTTCACTAAAGGGTACAAACAGCACCTAATTAAACTATACAATACACCATGCAAATCTTTTCACTCAAACCAACATATATGTTAATGGTAGGAACGCAGAGTTCTGCACCAGAACTTACACAGTCCTACGGTTACTTGTACGCAAAGAAGGAGCACACCCAAATGTAACAATAATAGATTTACAGCATTACGCCTTAGTAGGCAAAGGGCTGCTTTCTGAAACTTTTACAAGAAAAGTTCATTGCTTAAGAAACCACTGGATACTGTTTGAAAATTAATCTTAAAAAGAACTAAAGAAGTTAAGTAAAAGAGCTCAGGCATATTGTTGTAAAAAAAATTCAAAGAGGCAAAGGAAGATTAGCCAAGTATTTAAACGCTGAAATTGCGAAAACTAAAACCTACACCTCAATTTCTTGCCCAATTGCAGATTTCTTGCTGTACGATTGACTAACTACAAACAACAGGTTCAAATCTAAGAAAAA